TAATCATTTCACAAGCCCGTAAAGGCATAGCATATCGAAATCCGAGTTCATTTGACCAAGTTATGGGCTTTTAAAGATGTAAGGAAGGCCATTTCTGTAAACTTTCGCAAAAAAAAAATCAACGACATAAAAATGGTCATACTTTTTAGTACCTTTAAAGTTATATATTTTAATTTTAATACAGATTACAACAAAATCACTCCACAAGCCCATAAAGGTACGCCATATCGAGATTCGAGTTCATTTGACCAAGTTATGGGCTTTTAAAGATGGAAAGATGGCCCATTTCAGTAAACCTTCGCAAAATTAAAATCAATGACATTAAAGCGGTCATATTTTTTACTACCTTTATAGTTGTATATATTAATGCAGATAACAACATAATCATTCCACAAGCCCATAAAGGTATACCATATCGAAATACGAGTTCATTTGACCAAGTTATGGGCTTTTAAAGATGTAAGGAAGGCCATTTCTGTAAACTTTCGCAAAAAAAAATCAATGACATAAAAATGGTCATATTTTTTACTTCCTTTTAAGTTATATATTTTAGTGCAGATAAAAACATAATCATTCCACAAGCCAATAAAAGCATGCCATATCGAAATCCGAGTTCATTTGACCAAGTTATGGGCTTTTAAAGATGGAAAGAAGGCCTATTTCAGTAAACCTTCGCAAAATTAAAATCAATCACATAAAAACGGTCATATTTGTTACTTCCTTTATAGTTATATATATAAATGCATATTTTAGTGCAGATAAAAACATAATCATTCACATGCCCATAAAGGTATGCCATATCGAGATCCGAGTTCATTTGACCAAGTTGTGGGCTTTTAAAGATGGAAAGAAGGCCCATTTCAGTAAACCTTCGCAAAATTAAAATCAATGACATAATAACGGTCACATTTTTTACTACCTTTAAAGTTATATATTTTAATACAGATTACAACAAACTCATTCCACAAGCCCATAAAGGTATGCCATATCGAAATCAGAGTTCATTTGACCAAGTTATGGGCCTTTAAAGATGTAAAGAAGGCCCAGTAAACCTTCGCAAAACTAAAATCAATGACATGAAAACGGTCATACTTTTTACTACCATTAAAGTTAAATATTTTAATACAGACTACAACAAAATCATTCCACAAGCTCATAAAGGTACGCCATATCGAGATTCGAGTTCATTTGACCAAGTTATGGGCTTTTAAAGATGGAAAGATGGCCCATTTCAGTAAACCTTCGCAAAATTAAAATCAATGACATAAAAACGGTCATATTTTTTAGTACCTTTAAAGTTATATATTTTAATACAGATTACAACAAAATCATTCCACAAGCCCATAAAGTTATGGGCTTTTAAAGATGGAAAGATGGCCCATTTCAGTAAACCTTCTCAAAATTAAAACGAATGACATAAAAACGGTCATATTTTTTACTACCTTTAAAGTTATATATATAAATGCAGATAACAACATAACAATTCCACAGGCCCAGAAAGGTATACCATATCGAAATCCGAGTTCATTCGTTCATTCATTACAACAAAATCATTCCACAACCCCATAAAGGTACGTTATGGACTTTTAAAGATGTCAATTAGGCCCAATTCTGTAAAGCTTCACAAAATTAAAATCAATGACATAAAAACGGTCATTTTTACTACCCTTAAAGTTATATATCTTAATGCAAATAACAACATAACCATTCACAAGCCCATAAAGTATGCCATATCGAAATCCGAGTTCATTTGACCAAGTTATGGGCTTTTAAAGATGTAAGGAAGGCCATTTCTGTAAACCTTCGCAAAATAAAATCAATGACATAAAAATGGTCATATTTTTTACTACCTTTTAAGTTATATATTTTAATGCAGATAAAAACATAATTATTCCACAAGCCAATAAAAGTATGCCATATCGAAATCCGAGTTCATTTGCCCAAGTTATGGGCTTTTAAAGATGGAAAGAAGGCCTATTTCAGTAAACCTTCGCAAAATTAAAATCAATCACATAAAAACGGTCATATTTGTTACTACCTTTATGGTTATATATATAAATGCATATTTTAGTGCAGATAAAAACATAATCATTCACATGCCCATAAAGGTATGCCATATCGAGATCCGAGTTCATTTGACCAAGTTGTGGGCTTTTAAAGATGGAAAGAAGGCCCATTTCAGTAAACCTTCGCAAAATTAAAATCAATGACATAATAACGGTCACATTTTTTACTACCTTTAAAGTTATATATTTTAATACAGATTACAACAAACTCATTCCACAAGCCCATAAAGGTATGCCATATCGAAATCAGAGTTCATTTGACCAAGTTATGGGCCTTTAAAGATGTAAAGAAGGCCCATTTCAGTAAGCCTTCGCAAAACTAAAATCAATGACATAAAAACGGTCATACTTTTTACTACCATTAAAGTTATATATTTTAATACAGATTACAACAAAATCATTCACAAGCCCATAAAGGTATGCCATATCGAGATCCGAGTTCATTTGACCAAGTTGTGGGCTTTTAAAGATGGAAAGAAGGCCCATTTCAGTAAACCTTCGCAAAATTAAAATCAATGACATAAAAACGGTCATATTTTTTAGTACCTTTAAAGTTATATATTTTAATACAGATTACAACAAACTCATTCCACAAGCCCATAAAGGTATGCCATATCGAAATCAGAGTTCATTTGACCAAGTTATGGGCCTTTAAAGATGTAAAGAAGGCCCATTTCAGTAAACCTTCGCAAAACTGAAATCAATGACATAAAAACGGTCATACTTTTTACTACCATTAAAGTTATATATTTTAATACAGATTACAACAAAATCATTCCACAAGCCCATAAAGGTACGCCATATCGAGATTCGAGTTCATTTGACCAAGTTATGGGCTTTTAAAGATGGAAAGATGGCCCATTTCAGTAAACCTTCGCAAAATTAAAATCAATGACATAAAAACGGTCATATTTTTTAGTACCTTTAAAGTTATATATTTTAATACAGATTACAACAAAATCATTCCACAAGCCCATAAATGTACGCCATATCGAGATTCGAGTTCATTTGACCAAGTTATGGGCTTTTAAAGATGGAAAGATGGCCCATTTCAGTAAACCTTCTCAAAATTAAAATGAATGACATAAAAACGGTCATATTTTGTACTACCTTTAAAGCTATATATATAAATGCAGATAACAACATAACAATTCCACAGGCCCAGAAAGGTATACCATATCGAAATCCGAGTTCATTCGTTCATTCATTACAACAAAATCATTCCACAACCCCATAAAGGTACGTTATGGACTTTTAAAGATGTCAATTAGGCCCAATTCTGTAAAGCTTCGCAAAATTAAAATCAATGACATAAAAACGGTCATTTTTACTACCCTTAAAGTTATATATCTTAATGCAAATAACAACATAACCATTCACAAGCCCATAAAGTATGCCATATCGAAATCCGAGTTCATTTCACCAAGTTATGGGCTTTTAAAGATGTAAGGAAGGCCATTTCTGTAAACTTTCGCAAAAAAAAAATCAACGACATAAAAATGGTCATACTTTTTAGTACCTTTAAAGTTATATATTTTAATTTTAATACAGATTACAACAAAATCATTCACAAGCCCATAAAGGTATGCCATATCGAGATCCGAGTTCATTTGACCAAGTTGTGGGCTTTTAAAGATGGAAAGAAGGCCCATTTCAGTAAACCTTCGCAAAATTAAAATCAATGACATAAAAACGGTCATATTTTTTAGTACCTTTAAAGTTATATATTTTAATACAGATTACAACAAACTCATTCCACAAGCCCATAAAGGTATGCCATATCGAAATCAGAGTTCCTTTGACCAAGTTATGGGCCTTTAAAGATGTTGTAGCGTGTAACGTTCGAATGAAGTGTTTTGAATCGAAGCATCTGTACTTGCGGGGCACGCTTTAGGGTCCGGCACTAACTCGTCGGCTTTGGGGGTGTTGTTCTTGCTTTATACTGACCCTGACACCATCTACACATTATTATTAACAGACCAAGAATTGAGCGTGCTTGCGACAAAATTATAAATTAGTTAACTAAACCGGAAGAAATATAAATAAATTCGGAAAGAATTTAAAGACTCAAGAAAAGAAAAGAAAGAGAGAAATCTTAACGCAGCGAAGACACGGATGTTATTGTGCTCGCATGTTGCCCACCCTACCTATGATCACCTGCCGCAAGAGCATGACTCTGGTGACCCCTTTTGTACCCTACGACCGAGAAAACATCAGCGGAGTTCAGTAAATTTTGGAATTTAAGCTTCCATTTTTATAATAAATTCAAGGAAAGAAAACATAATTAACAGTAGTTCAGTAATAGTAATTCATGATAAAGTAATAGGTATAAAAATAGTAATAATGTTTAAACAATGGTATATAATCTTAATTAAGAGAGCATATGTATACGGGTTTTGTAAGTTAGAGGCGGTTGTTTCAAAGTTTAGAATTTCAATTCGTTTCAGGGTGAGATATTAATTTAATTTGTTTGGTTTAATTTAATTAGGATTAATAAAATATTTTTTGATAAAATTTAAAATTAAAATTCAAGTTAATTCTCTTTAAGTACTTAATATTTGTTGGATAATATTTTCGTTAATTTAATGCTTCATTAGATTCGGGATTCGTTTATTATTATTTTTGGACGTTCAAATAAAAGTTTGGTTTAGTTTTCAAAAGATAAATGTGGATATAGAAAATAAACATTTAGTTTTCAAACTCACGGCAACTTTTCCATCGGCGAAAGATCGATCTCCCGACGCAGGTGTGCTGGAAAAAGATTATGGCGTTTTGCACCATAGGGTTAAAGTGAACTAAGAATATATTTTGAAAACAATTTAAAAAGAAACTTTCTTGCCATTATGTCCCAATTCTTTAGAGGCACAAAATTGTTATTTAAGTTTAGGTAGTATCTACAATAAACTAATTAAGATTCGCTCCATTATATTTCAAAATTTCCCTAGATATTTTCCCCCATGGGGTTCACTGTGGTTGCAGGTTAAATATGCTCGCAATTGGGGCAAGTGATTGGGTTGATTGCCAGAGATAATACAAAGAAATAGCAGAGGGTTAAACCCCGTTAAAATTTGCGCCTATGTGCATTGGGGTAAGGCTGCTGCTGATGTGTATGTGCGGCCTAGAGATTTCCCGCGGTGTAGCTGCGTAAGTGTGCGCCAAAAGCTTACACGTCCATGTGCATAAGAAGCGGCTCGTAAATGCGCGCATGTGCAAAAGGGTTAGCTGCGCATGCTTGTTCGTTGGTGCAGGGTTAGGTACACATGACGTTTATGGGGGTGCTCCACGGTGCAGGCGCCGGATTTCGGTGGTACCAGGTTATGTACGCTTGTAGCTAGGGGGTGCTCCTCGGTACGTGCACGTGGGTTTCCGTTGGTGATACCTGGCTTACATGCTCCTCGTCTCGACGACCTTACATACTGCTAACTGGGCACAACCTGACGATTGGGGAACGGTTACAGTAAATACCTAAAAAAAACCACTATTCTCGAGAATATCTACCTTACGATTGTGCCCCGAAAACGTCTTGGGGGTTTTGGGATTTTTTCCCGGGCCGTTGCCGGTAGAAATCTCGCCAATCCAACCACAAAAATACTATAACTTGCTGCTGGCCTGCTGGCCGGAACACTTTCGTAGCCGGGACGACTCTAAGTTTTTCCTCTTCAGCTGCCTGAGACACGGGCGGGGGTTAGACACAGAAAGAAAACCAATTCGCCGGGAAACTTACTCGATCTAAGCTTTGGCGGGTGTCTTTATTTAAATTTTCCACTATCGAATTGCAATACTTGCAATATGCACGCGTACCCGAGTTAAAGATTCGAACTTATTTGGGACTGGGAATTTAATTTTTTTAGTGCATGTGCACTCCGCGACTGCTCGATTGAAAAGAAATAGAACGGAACCGGGTAATGTTGGTCTAGGCTGCCAGCGGAAATGCATCGCAGCCGGTAATCACGCCATGTTGGTAATTGAGCTTTCCAGAGCTCCCCTGGTGCAGCTGATCATGCCAGCCGTGGACAGTTGGTATTCCCAAAAAAATACTAAGTAAGCTGGGCTTACTAACATCTGTGGTTTGAAAGCAAGCTTAACAGCGCTACCCTAGTACAGCTGATTACTATCGCCACGCTCAGTTGTCATCTCAAAAAAAATACTAAACCGGGCTTACTAATATTTGTGGTTTGAAACTAAGCTAAGCTCAAAAAAAACCTAAACAAAAAAATATTTTTCTTGGCCGAACTAAAAGGAAAAATTTCGTTGCTTCAGTCGCCGCTACAAAGCCCCCCGAAAAATCAGGCTAGGGTATGATGCCCTAGACTGATAACGACTGAAGGCACGTTACTGGCGGATATTTTTCGCATGATATGTGCCTAATAAACGTCCTTGTAAGTCTTCTAGTTCGTAATAAGCATTTCCCAGCTTCTTCCGAACCCTCGCTTTCACAAAAGAAGGACCGAACTTGGCATTATAGCCTGTCTGAAAACAGCTTTGTTTAAAATTTCGGCGAAATACTTCTTGCCCTTCGGCAAAGGACACGATTCGAGATCGAAGATTATACCGCTTTTCATTCTCATCGTGCTTTTCCTTAACAACGAATAAGTTGAACCGGAGGTAATCATGTGCTGGCCGAAAACCATGTAGTATGGAGAGGTACCTATACTAGCATGAACCGATGATCTCAAAGCACAACATATCCTACCGAGATACTCGTCCCAGTCCTTCTGATCAGGACGCAAATAAGCCCTAATTGCAGAGATTACAGAACGATTTACGCGCTCAGACGCGTTAGCCTGGGGTGAATGCACTGCAGTCAGTGTGTGCGTAACCCCATACTGTTGCATAAGCTTCTGAAAAGCATGAGAGCGAAATTGCGAGCCGTTGTCGGACAACACCGTTTCTGGAGCTCCATGCGCCATAAACAACTCCCCTTCAAGGTATTTTATAACGACACTAGTATCAATCTTGCGAACTGCTTTTAGAAACACATACTTGGAAAAATGATCTAAAACGATAAAAATACCAATGTTCCCTCTTCTTGACCTAGGATAAGGTCCAAGGAAGTCAATAAAAAGACGTTGGAAAAATCGATGACTTTCAGGGGCTTTTCCTAAGGGAGGACGTAGTACGAAATTTGGAGCTTTTGTGGTTTTACACACTTCACAGGCATTTATATAAGTCTTTATATCCGACACAAGGCCAGGCCAGAAATAGTATCGCCTAACTCTCTCAATCGTTTTGTGCATGCCACAGTGTGACGACAAAGGGCTATCGTGCGCTCGCGAAAGGATTTCGGGCACTAATTCTCTGGGTATCCACAGTTTCCACGCATACTCATCGTGAACTTGCTCTCCTGTCAAGTGTTCGGCTTTGCGATAAACGTAACCGCTGTCGGTCTTAAGATCGGGAAAACTAGCTTGGCTTGCCGCTACTTTCTCTACAAGATCAACATACCCAGCGGACTTAAAATGTTCCGAACTAAGATCAACGAGCAACCCTTCACGCAAGTCTAAGGCGGCTACTGTATCCTCGTTAACGCGAGACAGTGAATCGGGAACTATGTTAAGGGATCCCTTACGATGCTCAATATCGAAACTATACCTCTGCAACGCTAATGCCCATCGAGCTAAGCGAGAATTAGGTCATGATTAGACATTAACCACTTCAAAGATGCGTGGTCGGTTATGATTTTAAATTTATGTCCTTCCACATAGGCCCTAAAATTTTTAAGAGCTACAATCGCTGCTAGGCATTCTTGTTCAGTGACCGTATAGTTACGCTGAGCCTTGTTCAATTTCTTCGAAATGAACGCAATCGGACGCTCGTCTCCTTCCTCAGAGACTTGTACTAAAACTGCACCTACACCGGTTTTACTTGCATCGCAATGTATCGCAAAGGGTTTAGAAAAATCGGGGCTACATAAAACCGGAGCCTCACTAAGACACCGTTTTAACTGTTCAAAAGCTTTAATTGCCTCATCAGTCAAACTAAACCTCCTTTTCGTAGTCATCAAATCAGTCAGAGGAGCGGATAGCGATGCAAAATTTGGAACAAACTTGCGGTACCACCCACACAAACCCATAAAACTTCTCAAGCTGCGCAAGGTCCTGGGTAGCGGAAAATTCGTGATGGCAGTCACCTTTTCAGGATCGGTGCGTATTCCACCGTCACCTATTATATGGCCTAAATAGCGCACACGCAGCATGTAGAAGTGACTTTTGCCAATATTGATTGTCAAACCGGCACGCCTTATGTGAAGAGCTACCTCTCTAAGTACATCTAGATGCCTTTCAAAGCTTGCAGAAATTACCAATAAGTCGTCGAAGTAAATGAACACCTCGTTCCTGAGATGAGCCGGGACGACCTTGTCCATCATCCGCGACATTGTGCTCGTGGCATTGCACAGCCCGAACGGCATGACTTTAAATTGATAGAGGGGTCTACCAGGTACTGTGAAGGCCGTCTTGTCTCGAGATGCAACATCTAAAGGCACCTGCCAATAAGCATCCTTAAGATCAAGACTAGATATGTACTCTGCCTTTGGCAAACGGCTCAAAATGCCACTAATTTGGGGAAGTGGGTATGCATCCTTTTCGGTGAAACTGTTTACCTTACGACAATCCAGACAAATTCTAACTTTTCCAGGTTTTGTTACCATTACGATTGGAGAAGACCAAGCACTTTCTGACTCCTCTATCACCCCCAATTGTATCATTCTATCGATCTCGGCGTACATAGCCTGCGGGAGAAACAGGGAAATGACGTTGTTTTATTGGTTTAGCCATACCCACATCGATCGAATGCTCAATTAAATTGGTCTTGCCGAGACCTTCTTGAGTAAACGAGGGAAAACAACTGATTACGTTTATTAGTTTGGCTCTCTCAGCCTCGGACAAATCATGTTGATCGGTTTCGACCTTTCCGTTACTATCGACAGATTCTAGCTCGGAAATATTTAAACATTTTGGAAGCAGATCGAACAACCTCCAGAAATCTATTCCCAAATACAAATCTTGCTTCAGTGAGGGTATTATGTAAATCGTCAATGGATTTTTGACGTTATTATACTCAACATCCAATTTTAATCGTCCTACTATCTGTTGAGATCTTCCATCTGCAGTAGCTGCATTAGCTGTTATCGTTTTGTAATCGTACTTGTCTAATACTTCACTAGCTAACTGTCCTCCAACACAACTAATCGCTGCGCCAGAATCTAATAATCCATAAACGGTACGATTGAGAAGACGAATTTGCAAGAATGGGCGAGGATCCTTAGGCCTTTCGATAAGAGAGCCGAGGTACGCTACACCGAGTTTACATTTCCTAACATTCTTCCAAAATTCTTTTATTCGCTTCGAACTACGAGATTTAAGCTGTTCCAACTCAGGTGTGTGGTCAACGGTCGTGATAGCCACGGTTTTTAATTCTGGGATTTTGCTGTGTAGCAAAGGACTAGCAGATAATTTTTGTTCGTCAGGGAGGGTGAGTGACACAACTGTGGCTGCGTCATCTACATATTTGTCGGTCATTGTTGCTTGACTTCGAACGGTGATCGAAGCCTTCTGTCTGAATGGCGACTTCGACATGCCGGTTTTGTAGTTTTTTGAACACTTACTACAATTCGGTTTGTATGTGTTGGCTGTTCCACAGCCGTAACAAAAGATTCGTCTCTCAGATACACAGTCCTGATATCGGTGCCCTTCCTTGCGACAGTTCCAACATAACAGAGAAAAAGCCTCGATATCTACCTCATTTTCGGATTCTATTTCTGTTTCCATGTTTTCTTGTTCTTTATTGAGCTCGGAGACTTCCCGCTTGAACAGAGACCCTCGAGCGTATCCTGAATATCGTTTAATATCGGCCAAAAAGTCTTCACGTCGACGACAAATCTCTCTTAGTTCCGAAACTGATCTAATCTCCATATTTAAAAGTTCATGTCTAATTTCGGGACGTAGGTTGTTCTTGAGGACCCGTACTAATTTATGCGGCGTCCATGGAACTTCTAGCTGATCAACTAGTCCTGATATAGTCTCATAAAAGCAATCGAAAGTTTCATTCGGCTTTTGCTTAGTGTTCCTTATCAGTTCCTCTATATCCCCATCATCCCTACTTGGTCTAAACTGTTGACGTAAGGCTGCACAAAATGCATCCCAGACAACTTCGCCGTGTGCTTTGTGATATCGCCAATAAAACTCGTTGGCTTTCCCTTCAAAAAGCACGCTTGCATTTTTACAAAGTACCGTGAAATTTCCTTTTAACTTTTCCTTTGTGAGTGTCTCTACTCTGTATATAAAATTGTCGACAGACACCCCTACTCCAGAATATTTAATTTTCCATCCATTAAGTATATGCACAACTTTATCCGGCCGGTTCAGCAAATCAGACGTGGTGCATCTTTGATAACCTGGAGAGACCGTAAGAAGCCGGGAATTTTCCAGTGGTTCATTCGTTAAATCGGACTGACTATCCATACTTTCTATGCCTCGAGCAGCAGGTTGTTGAATGCTACCATTGCTACTAATTTGCGACGCCAAAGCACTTGTTATACTGTCTGTCAATGAACTTTGAATCAATTCTGTCACTTTTTCCGAAAGGGTAGTGAGTAGTCTCCGCTCCATGGCAAGTAAAGTCATAGCGTTAGCGGTTATGAAGCCCGCCGCATTATTACTGGAATTTGTATTAACTCCTGATGTGGAAGGTCCCTCATCCGTTGCTGATTTATCACTACTCTCTAAAGGCTGCTTACTTTTTGATCGACTGCGAGTTTGTAGCCCTGAACTATCAAGTGGCTTACCGACTGCAGGCCTACAAGCTGATTTGCATACTGGACATTGTGCGCTTTTCTTAAAATGCGCTTCTATGCACTTCCTGTGAAATTCGTGGTGACACGAGACTATGAAAATTTCGGCGACGGTAATATCGGATTTACATATCGGACAAATTGTAGCTGGGCCACCTTCTGTCCCCTTATTCGGCGATCGGTCCACACCCATAATGCACACCAATAAAAATATTCTCAGGACAATTTTCAAAAAAATTCTTGCGCCAACGTTAACCAACTACAACCAAAGTTTTAACCAAGTAAGAGGGTTTATGTTTCTATAAACAAAAATTCTTAAACAAAAAAAGAAAAATGTATATACGGAAACGATATTAGTTGTTTCTATAAACAAAATTTTAAGCCCCAAAAAAAATATATATACGGCAAAAGATATTAACTGAACTCCTTGCTAGATGTCCTACGAGTCGAGGGTGTTTTATTTATTTTAAGTTTCTCGGAAATTATTGAAATTACAGAAATAAAAGATTGTTTAGGCTTTATAAAAAAAAACCTTTTCTAAAAATACAAAAGGAGGGAAGTAGTCACTTTCTTATTTCGAACAGCGGACAGCGATCTGTTCAAAACATATTCGCATGTATTCCAGCCTTCACCAAAAGGGAATATAATACTTCAGGAAAATGATAAATAAAAGATTGCCACTAACTATTTGTGGATACGGCACTGCTTTCAAGTGATGCCAGTATTTTCCGAACAGTTAAATTAATGTCTATCTTTAATTTACAGAGCATAGTTAGTTCAACGACTTGGTATTTTAAGCTGGGACAGAAGACCTAAGTTGATTTTTGGATTTTCTGTTTTCCTCAGACTAATAGACACATCATCATCTCTGCTAATTTTAGGAAAATTCTTTAGTTAGCTTATAATTCCGGACAGCTTTGAATACTTATATTCACAAAGCATGATTTCCAAGAAATAAAAAAAATAAAAAGAGAATTTTTAGAAAAAAATAAGAAAGAAAGTTTTTAAGAAATTGAATTTATCTACCAGTGAGTCTTAATGAATAAAAATTACTCAGTAAGGCCCCACGTTGGGCGCCACTTTTTCTTATTAATAATAATGAATTATAACTGTAGCGTGTAACGTTCGAATGAAGTGTTTTGAATCGAAGGATCTGTACTTGCGGGGCACGCTTTAGGGTCCGGCACTAACTCGTCGGCTTTGGGGGTGTTGTTCTTGCTTTATACTGACCCTGACACCATCTACACATTTTTATTAACAGACCAAGAATTGAGCGTGCTTGCGACAAAATTATAAGTTAGTTAACTAAACCGGAAGAAATATAAATAAATTCGGAAAGAATTTAAAGACTCAAGAAAAGAAAAGAAAGAGAGAAATCTTAACGCAGCGAAGACACGGATGTTATTGTGCTCGCATGTTGCCCACCCTACCTATGATCACCTGCCGCAAGAGCATGACTCTGGTGACCCCTTTTGTACCCTACGACCGAGAAAACATCAGCGGAGTTCAGTAAATTTTGGAATTTAAGCTTCCATTTTTATAATAAATTCAAGGAAAGAAAACATAATTAACAGTAGTTCAGTAATAGTAATTCATGATAAAGTAATAGGTATAAAAATAGTAATAATGTTTAAACAATGGTATATAATCTTAATTAAGAGAGCATATGTATACGGGTTTTGTAAGATAGAGGCGGTTGTTTCAAAGTTTAGAATTTCAATTCGTTTCAGGGTGAGATATTAATTTAATTTGTTTGGTTTAATTTAATTAGGATTAATAAAATATTTTTTGATAAAATTTAAAATTAAAATTCAAGTTAATTCTCTTTAAGTACTTAATATTTGTTGGATAATATTTTCGTTAATTTAATGCTTCATTAGATTCGGGATTCGTTTATTATTATTTTTGGACGTTCAAATAAAAGTTTGGTTTAGTTTTCAAAAGATAAATGTGGATATAGAAAATAAACATTTAGTTTTCAAACTCACGGCAACTTTTCCATCGGCGAAAGATCGATCTCCCGACGCAGGTGTGCTGGAAAAAGATTATGGCGTTTTGCACCATAGGGTTAAAGTGAACTAAGAATATATTTTGAAAACAATTTAAAAAGAAACTTTCTTGCCATTATGTCCCGATTCTTTAGAGGCACAAAATTGTTATTTAAGTTTAGGTAGTATCTACAATAAACTAATTAAGATTCGCTCCATTATATTTCAAAATTTCCCTAGATATTTTACCCCATGGGGTTCACTGTGGTTGCAGGTTAAATATGCTCGCAATTGGGGCAAGTGATTGGGTTGATTGCCAGAGATAATACAAAGAAATAGCAGAGGGTTAAACCCCGTTAAAATTTGCGCCTATGTGCATTGGGGTAAGGCTGCTGCTGATGTGTATGTGCGGCCTAGAGATTTCCCGCGGTGTAGCTGCGTAAGTGTGCGCCAAAAGCTTACACGTCCATGTGCATAAGAAGCGGCTCGTAAATGCGCGCATGTGCAAAAGGGTTAGCTGCGCATGCTTGTTCGTTGGTGCAGGGTTAGGTACACATGACGTTTATGGGGGTGCTCCACGGTGCAGGCGCCGGATTTCGGTGGTACCAGGTTATGTACGCTTCCGTTGGTGATACCTGGTTTACATGCTCCTCGTCTCGACGACCTTACATACTGCTAACTGGGCACAACCTGACGATTGGGGAACGGTTACAGTAAATACCTAAAAAAAACCACTATTCTCGAGAATATCTACCTTACGATTGTGCCCCGAAAACGTCTTGGGGGTTTTGGGATTTTTTCCCGGGCCGTTGCCGGTAGAAATCTCGCCAATCCAACCACAAAAATACTATAACTTGCTGCTGGCCTGCTGGCCGGAACACTTTCGTAGCCGGGACGACTCTAAGTTTTTCCTCTTCAGCTGCCTGAGACACGGGCGGGGGTTAGACACAGAAAGAAAACCAATTCGCCGGGAAACTTACTCGATCTAAGCTTTGGCGGGTGTCTTTATTTAAATTTTCCACTATCGAATTGCAATATGCACGCGTACCCGAGTTAAAGATTCGAACTTATTTGGGACTGGGAATTTAATTTTTTTAGTGCATGTGCACTCCGCGACTGCTCGATTGAAAAGAAATAGAACGGAACCGGGTAATGTTGGTCTAGGCTGCCAGCGGAAATGCATCGCAGCCGGTAATCACGCCATGTTGGTAATTTAGCTTTCCAGAGCTCCCCTGGTGCAGCTGATCATGCCAGCCGTGGACAGTTGGTATTCCCAAAAAAAATACTAAGTAAGCTGGGCTTACTAACATCTGTAGTTTGAAAGCAAGCTTAACAGCGCTACCCTAGTACAGCTGATTACTATCGCCACGCTCAGTTGTCATCTCAAAAAAAATACTAAACCGGGCTTACTAATATTTGTGGTTTGAAACTAAGCTAAGCTCAAAAAGAACCTAAACAAAAAAATATTTTTCTTGGCCGAACTAAAAGGAAAAATTTCGTTGCTTCAGTCGCCGCTACAATGTAAAGAAGGCCCATTTCAGTAAACCTTCGCAAAACTAAAATCAATGACATAAAAACGGTCATACTTTTTACTACCATTAAAGTTATATATTTTAATACAGATTACAACAAAATCATTCCACAAGCCCATAAAGGTACGCCATATCGAGATTCGAGTTCATTTGACCAAGTTATGGGCTTTTAAAGATGGAAAGATGGCCCATTTCAGTAAACCTTCGCAAAATTAAAATCAATGACATAAAAACGGTCATATTTGTTAGTACCTTTAAAGTTATATATTTTTATACAGATTACAACAAAATCATTCCACATCTCTGCTAATTTTAGGAAAATTCTTTAGTTAGCTTATAATTCCGGACAGCTTTGAATACTTATATTCACAAAGCATGATTTCCAAGAAATAAAAAAAATAAAAAGAGAATTTTTAGAAAAAAAATAAGAAAGAAAGTTTTTAAGAAATTGAATTTATCTACCAGTGAGTCTTAATGAATAAAAATTACTCAGTAAGGCCCCACGTTGGGCGCCACTTTTTCTTATTAATAATAATGAATTATAACTGTAGCGTGTAACGTTCGAATGAAGTGTTTTGAATCGAAGGATCTGTACTTGCGGGGCACGCTTTAGGGTCCGGCACTAACTCGTCGGCTTTGGGGGTGTTGTTCTTGCTTCATACTGACCCTGACACCATCTACACATTTTTATTAACAGACCAAGAATTGAGCGTGCTTGCGACAAAATTATAAGTTAGTTAACTAAACCGGAAGAAATATAAATAAATTCGGAAAGAATTTAAAGACTCAAGAAAAGAAAAGAAAGAGAGAAATCTTAACGCAGCGAAGACACGGATGTTATTGTGCTCGCATGTTGCCCACCCTACCTATGATCACCTGCCGCAAGAGCATGACTCTGGTGACCCCTTTTGTACCCTACGACCGAGAAAACATCAGCGGAGTTCAGTAAATTTTGGAATTTAAGCTTCCATTTTTATAATAAATTCAAGGAAAGAAAACATAATTAACAGTAGTTCAGTAATAGTAATTCATGATAAAGTAATAGGTATAAAAATAGTAATAATGTTTAAACAATGGTATATAATCTTAATTAAGAGAGCATATGTATACGGGTTTTGTAAGATAGAGGCGGTTGTTTCAAAGTTTAGAATTTCAATTCGTTTCAGGGTGAGATATTAATTTAATTTGTTTGGTTTAATTTAATTAGGATTAATAAAATATTTTTTGATAAAATTTAAAATTAAAATTCAAGTTAATTCTCTTTAAGTACTTAATATTTGTTGGATAATATTTTCGTTAATTTAATGCTTCATTAGATTCGGGATTCGTTTATTATTATTTTTGGACGTTCAAATAAAAGTTTGGTTTAGTTTTCAAAAGATAAATGTGGATATAGAAAATAAACATTTAGTTTTCAAACTCACGGCAACTTTTCCATCGGCGAAAGATCGATCTCCCGACGCAGGTGTGCTGGAAAAAGATTATGGCGTTTTGCACCATAGGGTTAAAGTGAACTAAGAATATATTTTGAAAACAATTTAAAAAGAAACTTTCTTGCCATTATGTCCCGATTCTTTAGAGGCACAAAATTGTTATTTAAGTTTAGGTAGTATCTACAATAAACTAATTAAGATTCGCTCCATTATATTTCAAAATTTCCCTAGATATTTTACCCCATGGGGTTCACTGTGGTTGCAGGTTAAATATGCTCGCAATTGGGGCAAGTGATTGGGTTGATTGCCAGAGATAATACAAAGAAATAGCAGAGGGTTAAACCCCGTTAAAATTTGCGCCTATGTGCATTGGGGTAAGGCTGCTGCTGATGTGTATGTGCGGCCTAGAGATTTCCCGCGGTGTAGCTGCGTAAGTGTGCGCCAAAAGCTTACACGTCCATGTGCATAAGAAGCGGCTCGTAAATGCGCGCATGTGCAAAAGGGTTAGCTGCGCATGCTTGTTCGTTGGTGCAGGGTTAGGTACACATGACGTTTATGGGGGTGCTCCACGGTGCAGGCGCCGGATTTCGGTGGTACCAGGTTATGTACGCTTCCGTTGGTGATACCTGGTTTACATGCTCCTCGTCTCGACGACCTTACATACTGCTAACTGGGCACAACCTGACGATTGGGGAACGGTTACAGTAAATACCTAAAAAAAACCACTATTCTCGAGAATATCTACCTTACGATTGTGCCCCGAAAACGTCTTGGGGGTTTTGGGATTTTTTCCCGGGCCGTTGCCGGTAGAAATCTCGCCAATCCAACCACAAAAATACTATAACTTGCTGCTGGCCTGCTGGCCGGAACACTTTCGTAGCCGGGACGACTCTAAGTTTTTCCTCTTCAGCTGCCTGAGACACGGGCGGGGGTTAGACACAGAAAGAAAACCAATTCGCCGGGAAACTTACTCGATCTAAGCTTTGGCGGGTGTCTTTATTTAAATTTTCCACTATCGAATTGCAATACTTGCAAGATGCACGCGTACCCGAGTTAAAGATTCGAACTTATTTGGGACTGGGAATTTAATTTTTTTAGTGCATGTGCACTCCGCGACTGCTCGATTGAAAAGAAATAGAACGGAACCGGGTAATGTTGGTCTAGGCTGCCAGCGGAAATGCATCGCAGCCGGTAATCACGCCATGTTGGTAATTTAGCTTTCCAGAGCTCCCCTGGTGCAGCTGATCATGCCAGCCGTGGACAGTTGGTATTCCCAAAAAAAATACTAAGTAAGCTGGGCTTACTAACATCTGTAGTTTGAAAGCAAGCTTAACAGCGCTACCCTAGTACAGCTGATTACTATCGCCACGCTCAGTTGTCATCTCAAAAAAAATACTAAACCGGGCTTACTAATATTTGTGGTTTGAAACTAAGCTAAGCTCAAAAAGAACCTAAACAAAAAAATATTTTTCTTGGCCGAACTAAAAGGAAAAATTTCGTTGCTTCAGTCGCCGCTACAATGTAAAGAAGGCCCATTTCAGTAAACCTTCGCAAAACTAAAATCAATGACATAAAAACGGTCATACTTTTTACTACCATTAAAGTTATATATTTTAATACAGATTACAACAAAATCATTCCACAAGCCCATAAAGGTACGCCATATCGAGATTCGAGTTCATTTGACCAAGTTATGGGCTTTTAAAGATGGAAAGATGGCCCATTTCAGTAAACCTTCGCAAAATTAAAATCAATGACATAAAAACGGTCATATTTGTTAGTACCTTTAAAGTTATATATTTTTATACAGATTACAACAAAATCATTCCACATCTCTGCTAATTTTAGGAAAATTCTTTAGTTAGCTTATAATTCCGGACAGCTTTGAATACTTATATTCACAAAGCATGATTTCCAAGAAATTAAAAAAATAAAAAGAGAATTTTTAGAAAAAAAATAAGAAAGAAAGTTTTTAAGAAATTGAATTTATCTACCAGTGAGTCTTAATGAATAAAAATTACTCAGTAAGGCCCCACGTTGGGCGCCACTTTTTCTTATTAATAATAATGAATTATAACTGTAGCGTGTAACGTTCGAATGAAGTGTTTTGAATCGAAGGATATGTACTTGCGGGGCACGCTTTAGGGTCCGGCACTAACTCGTCGGCTTTGGGGGTGTTGTTCTTGCTTTATACTGACCCTGACACCATCTACACATTTTTATTAACAGACCAAGAATTGAGCGTGCTTGCGACAAAATTATAAGTTAGTTAACTAAACCGGAAGAAATATAAATAAATTCGGAAAGAATTTAAAGACTCAAGAAAAGAAAAGAAAGAGAGAAATCTTAACGCAGCGAAGACACGGATGTTATTGTGCTCGCATGTTGCCCACCCTACCTATGATCACCTGCCGCAAGAGCATGACTCTGGTGACCCCTTTTGTACCCTACGACCGAGAAAACATCAGCGGAGTTCAGTAAATTTTGGAATTTAAGCTTCCATTTTTATAATAAATTCAAGGAAAGAAAACATAATTAACAGTAGTTCAGTAATAGTAATTCATGATAAAGTAATAGGTATAAAAATAGTAATAATGTTTAAACAATGGTATATAATCTTAATTAAGAGAGCATATGTATACGGGTTTTGTAAGATAGAGGCGGTTGTTTCAAAGTTTAGAATTTCAATTCGTTTCAGGGTGAGATATTAATTTAATTTGTTTGGTTTAATTTAATTAGGATTAATAAAATATTTTTTGATAAAATTTAAAATTAAAATTCAAGTTAATTCTCTTTAAGTACTTAATATTTGTTGGATAATATTTTCGTTAATTTAATGCTTCATTAGATTCGGGATTCGTTTATTATTATTTTTGGACGTTCAAATAAAAGTTTGGTTTAGTTTTCAAAAGATAAATGTGGATATAGAAAATAAACATTTAGTTTTCAAACTCACGGCAACTTTTCCATCGGCGAAAGATCGATCTCCCGACGCAGGTGTGCTGGAAAAAGATTATGGCGTTTTGCACCATAGGGTTAAAGTGAACTAAGAATATAT